CTCTTCTGGGCCCATTTTAAGGGATGAGGATCTCAACAGTGTTCCCATAATAAAGCTGGTAGTGAATGTCCCTCATGCAAGCCGGGGGCAGAGTGCTATACATGGGCTTCAGGTGAGGCCAAAGCAAGCAGGCCCGGCACCCTGCCGATTTGATTCAGGAATTAAAATTTAGTCTGTCTGGGGGGATGTGGTATTACCAGTTTTTAATTTTGGCCAATTTTATTTACAAGTGGAGGTCAGTCTTTTCCCAAATGTTAATCAGCCATTTGTAATTTATCTTTTGTATACTGTCTGTTACTTTGGCTTTTTCGTATTCGAGAATTGGAGGGTTTTCAATTTGGGATTTTTAAAAAGTGAAGGAATATTAATGCATTTGTCATTTGTAACAAGTAACTTTTTTTTCCTAGTTTGCCTTCTGAAGTTGCTGATTTTATGTCCTTAGGCTCGCTCGCTGAGCTAGGAGCGAGCACGTGTGCTGAGTGGGAGGGGGCTGAGCTAGGCGCGGGACGCGCGGAGTCGCCCCTCCGAGGAGGGGAGGCTGCTCGGGGCTCTAGCGAAGGCCCCCGGGCAGCACCGGCAGCCAGCGGCGTGGGGACACCCGCATCCGTACGCCGCTCTGCCGGGGGCTGTGAGCTCTTTCGTCAGTAGCGTGTGGGCCTGAGCTGTTGGGGGCTGACCTGAAGTGGGGTTCTGCCCCGCTCCCAGGTGCGCCAGCTGCTGCCGCGGCCGGTGGGCTCGGGGGGACGGCAGCGGCGCACCGGGCGAGGCCTGGGGGCCAGGAGAGCAGCGGGAGCAGGCCTGGCTGGCAGCCCGGGGCGCGGGGCGCGGGGCGCGGGGCGACGGCTGCCGAGGCGAGCCCCCTGCCGTGTGCAGAGCCGCTCAGCACGGGGCCTCGGGCGGCAGTGGCCGCGCGGAGACCGAGAGCCGCAGGAGCGGGGCCCCTGAAGGCTGGCAGGACGACGTCCGCTGCTAGGAGCCGGCACAGGGCTCCTGGGAGGGGGGACGGGGGCCTGGTGCGCTCGGGACGTTGCATCTTGACCCGGCTGCCCCTCGCACGAGTGTGAACACTCGGCCGTAATGCGCCGACATACTTTCCCTGTGTTCGATAACATGTGACGAAGTGAATGAGAGCGGGGGAGAGAGTGCTCGCTTTGGTGCCAGACCGCCTCTTTTCAAATCCCAGCTCTTGATAGCCAGTTCATAACCGTGGGGCCTTGGGGAAATTACTCAGCCTCTCTGTGCCTCGGATTCAAGTCCGTAAAGTGACAGTAATAATGACGCCTGTATCTTAGCGGTGCTGGGAGGAGTAGACGAACTGATGTGTGTCAAGCACTCTGAATTGTGTACAGCGCGTAGTAAACCCTCCCTAATGTTGCCTATCATTCGTTGTTTTTCTTAATAGTGGTTCTTACTATGAATGCGAAGAGATATGAGGAAGGCTTGGTGCCTCGGGCAGTTGTGGTCCCCTGAGAGCCGGTGGGCGCCCTGCCAGGTGAAGTCCTGAGTGTTAGCTGTGCCCTGGGGCCTGGAGTGGAGGGGGGTGGGCTGCAGGTTGCAGCCACAGGTAGAGTGAAGGAACGGATGGGTGCCTGGGTGGCTCAGTCGGTTAAGCGACTGCCTTCGGCTCAGGTCATGATCCTGGAGTCCCTGGATCGAGTCCCGCATCGGGCTCCCTGCTTGGCGGGGAGTCTGCTTCGTCCTCTGACCCTATCCCCTCTCATGTGTTCTCTCTCTCTCTCTCTCTCTCTCATTCTCTTTAAAAAAAAAAAAAAAAAAAAAAATGAAGGAACGGTGAGGTGGTGGTGTTGCCATGTGAGCCGTGATACTCCCCAGGCTAATGGTAGGATTTGCAGTGGACGAGACCGAGCTTGAGGTCAAGGCCCCAGGGCATTGCTGGATGATATGTGTCTCAGGCCCTGAGGGAGAGGGGCTGGCTGGGAGTGCCCGTGGGGCATCAGCAGCAGCCTTCCTCGGATGGAGGGGCCTGGATGAAGCCAGCTGTGGCCTTTGGGAGGCTTACTTGGCTTTCCCAGGAATCTTGATGCCTGCGCAGTTAGTGGCCCAGAAAGGTGTCAGAAGCCAGGTGACATTTGGTGTGTTTGACAGTGAAATACAGGTTAATTATATCTGCTTTAATATATTTTCAGAATTCCACTCTCATTCTGCCAGTAGCTGTAATGCTCTGCCTAGCTCCCTGCCCCCTCCCTTCTCCTTGAACCTTGGTTATGTTTGTCCCCCCAGACCCCTCCTCCTCCTCACTGGGTAACCATCCCAACCCCCACCCCAATTCAGTTGGAGGAAATTAAAGTCCCTCTAGTTCCACACTCTGGGACTCACTCCCATTTCTCATACCCGGACCTTGTTGCCTTGGCCCTATTCCTGTCTTAAATTCCACTGCCAGGTATGGGTCTTGTTCCTCTGTCCAAGCCCGGCTACCTGCAGGGCCCCGGTTTCCCCACAGTGGAGGCCTCCTTTGCATTCACTATTTCCTTTTCTGATCCCAGGTTTCAAGGATGAGATCCTCCCACCTGACATGGACTTCCTCTCCACACTGACATGTCCGCCTGAATCTTTTGCTACCACCCTCCTCCTCCCCCACCCCATCCTGCCCTTGCTTGCTGAGCCATCCGCCTTTTGCTGAATCTCCCTAAAGCAGTGTCTGCCAGCATTGTTGGCTGGGGATACTGTGCTCTTCCTGACGAGGGGAGCCTCCCTCCCCTGGGGTGTGAGTAGCCAGGCACCTACTCCACCTTAGTAAGCCCATGAGACTGCCCAGCCGCCTCCTCCCAGGCCAGCCTGTCCTTTGTCTTCAGGGCTCCTGTTTTGACAATGGGCACATGGGAGGGACAGGTTTTGAGTCCTGTAAAAAGAAAAAGGAAGGAAGTGTCCTTCACACAATTTCTGCCCCCTTTTCCTCGTTCTTCCTGGGGTGTCTGTGTGTTCGTGTATGATGTTTTGTTGTTTAGGGGCGGGGGAGAAGGGTGGGCGGGTTGAAGAGCAGTTTTTACTTTGTGCTTCGGCGGAGAAGTCTAAAAAGCCAGCCTGGAGAGCATTCTAGCTCTCTCCTCTCTACCTTTTAATATCATACAAGTGACATAAAAACTCAGCCTCTTTTGTCAGTGACTATTAGAAAGCCATTTGGGGCTGTAGGTGATCTAGAATATTTTATAATCATACCAACAAAATATGTCCCTCTATGTTTGTTTCCTATGACCTGGAATTGTATGAGAGATCCTATGATCTCTCATTGTAATGGAATTTATTGTCTCAAGACTTTACCCCTTGTAAAATTTAGGAATTTGGGGTAGTAAATCATGAAATTCATGTAAAGGGGTATATGTGGGGAGTTCAGGCTGGAGAAAGGACTCTTAGTCTTTGTTTTTTCATGGCCAGTTTTCATCAAAAGTTTAGATTTTCTCTGGACTGTGATAGGTTATTCTGTCTGTTATGACAAAAACTAGCCAAACAAGAAACAAATGTCATATGCTGTTAGTAGGAATGTAAATTGGTAAGATTACTTTGGAAAACTGTCTGGCAATATTTACTAAAGTCCAACACAGGCATGTTCTCTCACCCACCAATTCTACTCCTAGGTATACACCCAACAGAGAGGTGTACATATGTTCATAGCAGTAGTGTTCATAATAGCTAAAAATAAGAAGTAACTCAAGTCCATCAAAAGAGTAAGTTGTGGAAGAAGCATATCACGAAATACCCTGTGACAGCAGAAATGGAAGAACTGTGGCTACCCACGGCAGCATGGGTGAATTTCACAAGCAAAGTATTGAATGAAAGAAGCCAGGCAGAAAACTATATTGTTTGATTTATACAAAGTTCAAAATCAGGCAGAGATGTGGTTTTGGGAGTCAAAATGGTGCTGACCTTAGGGGAAGAGGGCGGGATAGTGACTTGGAGAAGGCAAAAGGGCTTCTATGTTTGGTGTGTTCTATTTCTTGACCTGGATGGTAGTTATGTGGGTGGGTTCATTCTGTGACAATTCACCAAGCTACATACTTATGATTTATATTCTGTGTGTTAACCTTCAGTAAGAATTTGTATTAAAAACTTCAGTATGTGTTCTGTTTGAGCCAGTTTTTATGAATGTGTCTGTCCCTCTGGTCCGTGGACTTGGTATGTACTTTTGCCTCAGTCTAAAGTACTTTTTTACTCCCTTTTCACTCCATTCCTGTTCCTCCTTTGGGTCTCCCTTCCCCACACGTGCAGCGTCCAGGTCCCCACTTGTGTGCTCTCTCGGCACCCTGTTGTGGAGCACAGCTCGGACTTCCATGTCGGTGCGTATTTGATTGCCTCTCCCCCCGTTCTGCAAGCTCGAGGAGAGTGGAGAAGCTGGGCCTGTCTCTGCCAGCCGGGTGTCTCCAGGGACTGGCCCCAGGGCCCACACCCACTGGTAGTTGTCAAATGAATGAACCAAATGGACTGACTGCGGAGGGAGCGGCCTTTTTCTCGACCCCTTTCCAAGTTAGCTTGGGGAAGCGCGAGGCTGAAGGAGCCCTGAGGTTGAAGCCCCTCTGAAGGCGCGTGAAACGTCTTTGAGACTCTAGTGACTTTCATAGCCTTAACGTGTGACCTGTAGGAAGACTTCGAAGCTGAAAGAGCTATGTTGGCTGATCAATCGGCGTCCCTTAACCTAGTTCTGTATTCTCTGCCCACTAGTCATGTTCTTGAGAACAAACAGTTTATATATGATGACTTCATTTGTTCTGGCTTTTCTCATGACAATCCTAAGGTCAAGCCTATTTTAAGCCTGAGAAATATGTCCTGGAAGTTAGTTCCAGAGTCCCTATTTCCTTTTTCTTTCCTTAGCATGGAAATCTTGGCTGTCTTCCCCATCCCCGCCCCCCTGAACTGTTCTCAGAAACAACTTTGAAAGTAACGTAAATATCCTCTATGTTGATTTTGTGTGTGTGTGTGTGCCCTTTAGTTGTTCTTTTTCACCTAGATGTGGGGAAATAGCACGTTCTCATGTACCGTTCTAATCTGACAGAAGGAAGCCCAAAGCCGTGCTCAGATGGACCCAGAAAGAGGAAGAATTTAAGTCAGTACCTTTGCATTTAGGCCTTATTTGTTAGGTGGTTTTTGTCGGGTGTTTTCCTCTTGTGTAAAGTGGTTGGGAGGCGGGCTTTGGAGCCAGACACTGTCGGTCTGGTCCGAATCCCAGGCCTGCCACTCCCTGCCCTTTGACCTTTGCCAGTCACTTAGCCTCTCTGGGCCTAAGCTTTCTCTTTGTAACACGGGGGCTAGTCATCAAGATTGGATTAAATTATGAATGTAAAACAATCTGTTCAATACTTAAGAAGCTGTAAACACTTAATAAAGAGTAGTTACCTAAAGTGGAAGATTCAATTTTGTTGTTTGAAAAAGAATGGTTTTAACATATATTACCTATTGGACTCTAAAGATTAGGACTTATTTTTAAGAACATATTTGGAAATTAATTTTGTGATTTATTTTGTGATCATTTGTGTAAATGATTATACAAAACCCAATCATACGATTTACCTTTGGGAACAAGAAGGGGAATATAGTAGCATTACAGTGGTTTGTATGCTACTCCCCCAACCCCCTTTAACTCTGAAAACAAATAAGAAATTTGGAGAATCCCATCCACTGTTAACCCTAATGATCGTTTCCTGAAGAACAGCCCCATCCAGAGTCACACAGAAATCTAGGATATGAATTGGAGCTTTGAGCTCTTGTCATTTTTTTTCTTCCTTCAGTGATTTCTGGTTGCTTAGTGTGAAGGGTCACACTAATGACGCTGTGTTTGTTGGTGAGCAAAGGGGAAATGGAGAGGTGCTTTGCGAGGGATGGAAGATGGTATTTACATACAAAATTTCAGATTTGGACCTTAGCAGCTTTGGTTCTGATGGGCTGGATGTAGAAATTTCAAGATCAGAAGGGCTTTGAGGTATGGTGGAAAAAACAGACTTTCTGTATCCTGCTTCAACTACTGTGCAACTTGAAAAAATTGCTGCTTTCTCTATCATTTTTCTCGATTTTCTTATTTGCAAAATAGTAATAATTCTTCCTGACAGAGTTTTTTGAGAGGCTTGAGATATATGATGACCTTTTCCTAAGAGACCGTGAGATACGTGTAAAGGAGTTTTTATTTGCTCTTTCTTTTTCCATTTAACCTGTTGTCTGCTCTGACAAGAATAAAGGAATTGTTTAAAGGATCCTCTGTAATTAGCCAACTTACTATTTTGAAATATTTTATTGTGGAGAATTTATAACATGTATAAAAGGAGAGAAAAGGATATTACATTTGTTGCATAACAAATCACCCCAAAATTCTGTGGGTCAGAAATACGAGAGCTTCTTGGGTTGGCGGTTCTGGTCTCTTGTGAGGTTGCAGCCAGGTGTTGGCTTGGGCTGCAGTCATCCAGGGGCTTGAGTGGGCCATAGGATTCGCTTCCAGGGTGGTTCACTCACGTGGCTGGCTAAGTGAGTGCCAGATGTCTTGGGGTGGGGGCCCAGTTCCTCTTGATGTGGGCAGTCTTCAGAGGGCTACTCGTGTCCTCAGGACATAGTAGCTGGCTTCCCCCAGAGAAAGTGATCCTGTGCACCAACACAGAAGATTACGATGCCCTTTTTGACCTAGTCTGGGAACTTGTGTATGGTCAGTTCTGCTCTATTTTATTGGTTCCATAATAAATCTGCCCTCGTTCAGTTAAGGAAGGGACCATGCAAGATCTTGTGATGATCATTGCGTCTTTAATTCATTAATGGTTGCAAATGGTAATAATCTATCATTCCTTCCTCATTTAATACTGAAATACTTATTAAAGAGAAACTTCCCCTCATTAACTATGTGATAAAATTTGAATAGCATACGTAAAATAAATGCTTGTTTCTTGCCCTTCATTTACCAGTTTTTAGAATAAGGATTTGGTTCTCTAGCATCCTTCAAAGGGGACCAGTTAAAAAAAAATTATTTTTAAGATTTTTTATTTATTTATTTGACAGAGAGCGAGAGACACGGTGAGATAGGGAACACAAGCAGGGGGAGCGGGAGAGGGAGAAGCAGGCTTCCCACCGAGCAGGGAGCCCGACTCGGGGCTCGATCCCAGGACCCCGGGATCATGACCTGAGCTGAAGGCAGACGCTTAATGACTGAGCCACCCAGGTGCCCCAGGGCACCAGTTAAATTTTATTTTTTATTTTCATTTTTATTTATTTTTTAAGATTTTATTTATTTGACAGAGACACAGCAAGAGAGGGAACACAAGCAGGGGGAGTGGGAGAGGGAGAAGCAGACTCCCCGCTGAGCAGGGAGCCCGACGCGAGGCCTGATTTCCAGGACCCTGGGATCATGACCTGAGTCTAAGTCAGAGCTTAACTGACTGAGCCACCCAGGCGCCCCTAAATTTTATTTTTTTCAGTCATTATGAACTTAAGGATTTTAATATATTTGATGTCTTTCAGCCTTTTGCATTTAATCTATTTTGATGTTCAGTTATTATACCCCTGTTAGATAAGTAGCATACTAAACATACTCCTCTTTGCTTTGCTTTGCTCACTTAACAGTATATCCTTGAGATCATGCCATCGTTGTATGGACAGGAATTCTTTTTCAAGAATTGAGATCTAATTCATATACTCACCCCTTTAAAGTGTACAATTCAGTGTTGTCTTAGTGGTAATGGTTGCACAACTTTGTGAATACATTATCTGCCTAATTCTAGAATATTTTCATCACAGAAACCCTGTAGCCATTAGCAGTCAGCCCCCATTCGCTCTGGTCCCTCCCACCAGTGCCGAAGCCCCTTGCAAACCCCAATCTGCCTTCTGTCTCTTCTGATCTGCCCATTCTGGACATTTTATTTTATTTTATTTTTTAAAGATTTTTTATTTATTTGATAGGGCAGAGTAAGCGAGAGAGAACATGAGTGGGGGGAGGGGCAGAGGGAGCGGGAGAAGCAGGCTTCCCGCTGAGCAGGGAGCCCCATTCGGGGCTTGATCCCAGGACCCTGAGATCACACCTTGAGCCGAAGTCAGATGCTTAACTGACTGAGCCTCCCAGCCTCCCCTGGACATTTCTTTTTTAATGGAATCGTATACTTTCTGGCCTTTGTGTTTAGCCCTTTTTTACTTAGCATCATGTTTTCCAGGTTCATCCATGTTTTAGTTTGCCCCAGTTCTTCTTCTGTTTTTGTAGTGGTACACTGCTCCTGGGCTGGTCCACCACACCTTAGTCAACCAGCCTGTGTTGGTGAATAACCGGATTGTTTCTGGATTTATTATTAGATGGCTTTGTGGATATATCCTTTTTATTTTATTATTTATTATTATTATTATTATTATTATTATTATTAGAGTACCCTTTGGATAGATTCCTACAAATGGGATTGCTGGGCTGAAGGATAATTGCATATGTAATTTTGCTAGTTGTTGCTGAATCCCCCCTTCTAGGGATTGTACCATTTTGCATTTTCACAAGCAGGGTATCAGAAATTGTTTCCCTACTGTTTTGCTTCAGAGTAGGATTTTGTGGTACCTCACTGTAGTTTTGACATTTTATTTGTATTTCTCATATGCTGATTGAGATTGATTGGCCATATATCTTTTCACATGTTTAGGGGTCATTTGTGTTCTTTTTTCCGTGAATTACTGTTCCTTTTCCTCTAGAACCCTTCTCCAAAGGATTGTCTTTTTCTTCCATTTTTGGATGCCATTTCTCTATTGTACATATTTTAATCATTTTCCTTCTTACTCTGCAGAAGGTGTCTTGTCATGCAAATTAATAAATTTTTGTGTAATTCTGCTAATACTTACTGTGTCTGGAGTTTGAGTCATAGTGGGAAAGTTTCCCTCATTGCCAGGTTGTTAAATATTTACCCATGTACACATCCTGGTGTGTGAAGAATAGATCCACTTTCCCCCTATACTGCTATTGAATTATTCCCAGCACCATTTATTAATAAGTCTGTTTTCTTCACTGTTTTGATAGGTTACCATTATGATAAATTTCATACAAAATTGGATCCATTTGTGGATTTTTTATTCTTTTCCGTTAGTCTCTATGTCTATTTGTGTGCCATTGCTATGCTTTTTTTTTTTTTTTTAAACTTTATTTATTAGAGCTCATGAGCACAAGCAGGGTGCGGGTGGGGAGAGGGAGAGGGAGAAGCAGACTCCTCACTGAGCAGGGATCCTGATGCGGGGCTCGATCCCAGGACCCACGGGATCATGACCTAAGCTGAAGGCAGTGCTTAACTGACTGAGCCACCCAGGTGCCCCTGCTATGCTTTTTAAATATCTGGTAAGGCTAACCTTCCTCATTTCTTTCCCTATTCTTACATATTTGTTATAGATGAACTTTATAATCTGCTTGTTTAGCTCTGGGGAAAAAAAACCTTGAAGTTATTTTTATTGGGGTTGTGTTAAATTTATAAATTAGTACAGGGAGAACTGACATCTTTGTGATGTTGTATATTCCTACCCAAGAACATGGTATGTCTTTCCATTTGTTCAAATTTGTTGTGTTTTTGCGGGCAGTGTTTTTATACCTCTCTTCAGAGGTTCTTCTTAAGCTTCTTCTTAGATATTTTACTATTTTTTTGCTTTCGTAAGTAGGGTTCTCTCTTCATTGTATTTTCTAACAGAATTTTCCTTTTGTAAATGAAGCCTGTTGGTTTTGATATATTTATTGTGTAGCTTTCTAAATCTCTGATTTGTAATACTCTATCAATTCTTTTGGGTTTTCCAGGACATGTCATTATATTATTTGTGAATAGAATTTTACTTCTTTCCCAATTCTTAGACCACTAATTGCAGCCTCTTCTCTAGTTGCATTGGATAGCATTGGATAGCATCTCCAGGGCAGTGTTAGAAAGTAGAGAAGATAGCATTTTGTTTTTATTATACAGTAGTGTTTGTTTCTAACTTTGGTGAGAAAGTTCTAATTTTTCTCTGATAAGATTTAGCAGACTTTTACATGCAATGAAAGGAATAGAAGAAGGAAATTATGTGGAGAAAGTTTTTGTTTTTTGTTTTGCCTTTTGTTTTGCTTTTCAAAGTGTGGGTGAGATATACTCAACATTTGTAGTAAATGTGATTATTTCTACTCCCAACTCTGTAGTATAATATCTTAATTATTATATCGACAGTCGATGAAATTAGTTATTTTCAACTATTTGACAAGGAAAATACTTAACATGTGAGTGATAAACACAGTAGAAAACTGTTACTGTGTAATTCTAATTTTGAGAATAGTTGCATAGAAAAAAATACTAAAGGGGGTTTGAAAATGGAAAACTTAGTCTTTATCATTGTGATATTGCTGTGCCAACACCTGGTTTCAGGGTTTGCCGTGGTGGGGACAAAAGATCCTCGCGTGGCGTCAGTGAAATGCCTCAGTGACACACGTCACTTCAGCTCACAGTCTGCTGGGTAGAGCTAGTCAGCGGCCTGACCGTACGGGGAAGGAAGGGGATCCTCCAGCGTGTCAGGAAAGAGGAGAGCCAGATACGGGTAAGCATGTGAAAGTCTCTGCCACAGTTGAGAACCTCTTTTGGTGCTAATTCTTTAAGATTTTCAGTTTCTTCTATAGTTACTGGCCTGTTCTGGTTTTATTCTACTTTTATAAATTTCAGTTTATTTCCGGAAAATTGTTGATTTCATTAAGATTTTAAACTATATTTGTAACATACCTTGAATAAGCATGGTTTGATGGGCATTTCAAAATGATGAACTTGATGATATCTCCATAAAGCTGGGAATAAAATCACTGTGGCTACTCTGGAAAAATGGGTCACAGGGGCACAACTAGATTTCTGCCGCTGTCCAGTTGGAGAGGTCGTCTGTGTTTATGACATAGGTGTGGAGGGATGTGGGCAAACTCGGGATATATTTTGGAGGTGGGATCTAGAGGTGCTATACAAAGGAGCATGTGGACTGTTTCTTGCT